GGGCTTACCTAGGTTGCAATGATGAGCATAGACCTCAACGAAAATTAGACCAAGTAGTGGCTACCTAGCACCTACGGCAAAACAATTAGTCAATCAACCACAATGAATCATTGACAATGAGCAGCAATGAGAGGGAGCCTAAATTGCAATTTCAAGAAGGGGAGAGTGGAGAGGAAAGGAAAAGTCAAGAGAGGAGAGGTGGAGAGGAGAGAGGAGAGGCAAGTCTAGAAACTTGGAATGGAGCTTAAGGTTTTTGGCCTATTATTAGATAGTACATTTCAATAGTACAAATGGGGAAAAAAAAGAGAGAGAACGAGGCTTAGAGGGACATGTGAGCCTATACTCATTTTTTTAGGTCTTATCAAAGCCAGATCTAGAAGCTCAGTTATCATAAAAAGGTTCCATTTCCAAAGACCGAACCTCATTTAAATAGAACTTTCAAACTTATATAAACCTAACCTTTATTCCCAACTCAATTGTTGTAGATCAACATGTTACGGGTTTCTAAGAGCGAGGGAGATTTCACCACTAATTCAAGTAGTGTCATTTAGAAGAAATAGGGGAAAGGAGAATTAAGAAATAGAGACATCCTTAAATTTAATTTTAATAGAAATAAATGAGATGAAACATGAGGCATAAAAAAAATTGATATATTGTGCATTTTTTGTGTAGCGTGCTAAAAATATAACAATATAAGAAACTAATTGTTTTAAAATTTATTTCATTTTATTTAGTATTTAAATTATAGTGAAAAATGTGAAGAATATTGGATGACCATTCTTCTTGTTAAAAAATGTAAGTTATTTTTTGAGGGTTGGATGTTAACAAATATAAAAATTTTAATATTTTATGGTGTAATTATTGCTTTTTTTAAAAAAATCCTCTTAATGAATAAATCACTTTATATTTAAGGGTTTTTTTAAAAAAATATAGCCCATGTTATAGAATTAAACCAAATAAATAGCCCAACATTTATTATATTTTGTATTATGATGAATCTATTATACTTGTTAATGGTATACTGTTATATATTAATGATGAACTTTTGATACATCAATGTCAATCAGCCCTTCTCCCAAATTTTCAAAAATTTGATCCATATTTTCTAGATACAAGATTTTTTTTTTACCAGTAAACCAATTTATCCTTATATTTATCTTAGAGTGAAACATTATATTAAATAGGGATATGTATTAAAAAATAATGTTAGTTTAAAGAGAAGAGACTACTTTATTTGAAATATTATCAAATTTGACGGGTTAGGTTAAATAAATTAGTTTATTTTTTAAAATAGGTTGGGCTAGTCTAACCCTCAAAACTAAAAAGCTAAAACAGGCTAGCCCACAAGTTAGTATATTTTTTTAAAAAAATATTTTTTTTATTTTTTAATTACATTATATCTTTTTATAAATATACAATAATGATAATATTTTTCAAATATATAATTTATAACTCCCGAATATGTTCTTTATATTTGAAAGATAATATAAATCTTTCTCACAATTTGCAAATAAAATTTTTGTCATAGCTTGTAAATCAATGATTTATTAGTTTTTATATAAATATTTTAAATATATATTATTCATTAATCTCATAAGATCTATTGATTGAAATTATAAATATGAATTCATTGAGAAAAAAATATAGATTTATATTCAAATTTTCTTTCTCAATTAAAAGATAATATACTTAGGCGAGAAGATAATTAATAGTAAAAATCTAGTAAAATGAATTTGATTAATTGAATTCTATGTTTATTTTATTTATTTACAAGTTCTTTAATTTCTAATTTGCTTTAAAATGTGAAATAAATAAACATATATTTATATTATATAAATTTAAAATTGTTAAAAAAATTGATAAATTTTTGTAGGATAGCCAGCTCGTCAAAAAAATGGGTTGGGTTGGTTTTCCAGCTCATTTTATCCGCGAGGCTGGCCCAACCTAACCCATAAAATGCCAGCCTGCACTAGCCCAGTGAGCTGGCCAGTGATTTGTTTGCCTAGTATTGCCCACAAGATTGAACAAATGTCTCTTTTCTTTTGTTTTTTGTTTTACTAACGTTTTGGAACTTTAAAGAGGTTGACTTTAGATATGTTTATTGGTGGGTTAATGAAATTTTCCCTGTATTATTTTTTGAAGATGGTAATTTTTTTAATTTTAAATTGTTATTATTAACTACCATGGATTTGTATTAAGGGTAAAGAGACAAAAATATTCATAAAATAGTCAGCGACAGGCACCCAGTATCCTAAAGTGACAAAAAGAGCAAAAATACCCATAACATTATATGGATGGGTGCAAAAGTAATCAAACTGTTAACTTTGACTTAACACCATTAACTTTGACCGTTAAATGCTAACTGTGGATGTCACATGTCAGTCTTTGCTAACGTGGACTAAAAAAGGAGCAAAAATACCCACGAAGTCATTGACGAGGAGTAAAATTACCCATAACGTTATCAGAATTGGTGTAAAAGTGATCAATACATACAATCCCTTAAATATTGACCGTTTAGTTGATAACTAAGCAAAAGTTGACTATTTTTTTTTACTGATGTAGAAAAAAAATATTCCTAGATAAAAATTTCTAGAAGTTAATTAGTTATTGTATGAATATCAAGTGGGAAAATGTAATTTTTACTGAATATCAAATTAAATTGCTTGTTTTTTTGCAACGGTGGAAAAAATTATTTAAAATTTTTAAATTTATTGTGAATGCAATTGCTTAAGGTTGTGACAATGTTCTTAAGTTAGATGTGCTCAGTCTTAATCTTTGATTTTAACAACCTATCTCACTATGTTAAATATCAAGTTTTACAAACAAGAAAAATGAGTGGATAGGGAGAAAGGAAGGAGGTGAGATATATGGTGATGGAAAGAAATCATATGGTATTGATTTTAACAAATTGGTTACTATTACACCTATTAAAGTAAGATTATAAGTACTCATACAATAATCAATCAATATCTGTAAAAATTCATTTTCAAATATTTTTTGTCTACATCAGTAAAAAAAATCAACTTCTGCTTAAGTGTCAACTAAATATTCAACATTTAAGAGATTGAATGTATTGGTCACTTTTACATCAATTCTGATAACATTATGAGTATTTTTACTCTTGGCTGATGATTTTGTAGGTATTTTTGCCTCTTTTTAGTCCACGTCAGCAAAGATTGACACGTGGCATGCACTATCAGTATTTAACCATCAAAGTTAACGGTGTTAATGTAACAGCACGGAGTCACCCCTTGGGCCTCGACTCGGTGCTGGACTCTGGCCCATCACTGGACCAAAGCCGACTTTACCACAGGTGGTACACTCAATGGTACCAGACTTAGCCTCAACTTTATTAAGGTGGTAGAGGTTGGAGGTTCGAGTCTGGGGAGGTTCCAAAAGACCCTGGAGAGGCAGTGGTGAGGAATAGCCACAGTACCACCTGTGGTAAAGTCGGCTTTGGTCCAGTGATGGGCCAGAGTCCAGCACCGAGTCGAGGCCCAAGGGGTGACTCCGTGCTGTTACATAAAAGGCGCCTTTTATGTAACAGCCCTCCTGGGTCACCACTGCCTCTCCAGGGTCTTTTCCCAGGCGCTGGACAACACACATGTCACCACATGCCGGCTTTCCCACTGGTGGTACAGTGGTTATTCCTCACCCCACCCTCACGGGGGTCTTTTGGAACCTCCCCAGACTCGAACCTCCAACCTCTACCACCTTAACGAAGTTGAGGCGAAGTCTGGTACCATTGAGGACTCAATGGTACCAGACTTAGCCTCAACTTTATGATTGATCGGAGGAATTCTATCTTATGCTTTTGTATATTTATTAGTTTATGAATTTATGATTGATCTTTGAAATGTGTAAATTAAAAAGAAATGCAAGTATGGCTTGATTTGTTAGAAAATTCACTAGATCAATTCTTTGTGAGCTTTATGCCTTATGATTTGAGCTTTATCTTTGGGCTTCATATCATGGGTTCATCATTTTTCCTCGTCTGATTCTGGGTTTATGATTTATGGTTTGACAAGGGCGAAACAAGAGCAAAAAGAGACAGAGATGGAGCTGCCCTCCACCAATGTCGTAGACATGAGTGCGAATAGGAGCAAAGACGATGGAGGTTGAGCGACTCTTTGCCATCCATCATTTGCCAATGAAGCTTGCAAGAGAGAGGATGATAATGGAGAATATGAGGACAATATTGTCTTTTAGCTACTTTTTAAAAAAAAAATTGAGTCCTTTTTTTATTATTCCATGTCATATCAAACATGATTTTAAAACTTATTTCCAATTTCAATTTCAATTCCAATCTCATAAAATTCAATACCTTACACCAAACAGGACCCTTGATTGATATTTCCCTCTTTGTTGTGTTTTTTTAGCCTTAGCTCTCTTGTCACAAAATACTTTATAGGTTGTAGCATACTTTCTCCCAACTACATTTAAAATATTTTTTAAAAATCTTACTTGATCTAAAATATAAATTAATTATTTTTTCAATTACGTCCATGCTTTGTTTATCACTCTTCTTAAAAAAATGATACATGAAAATTTTAAGTAGCCTTACCAAAAATTTTATATAGGGTTTTTAATGGATGCATATTCTTTTAGAATTGTAAATTAATTATCAATGTTTTATATTTTAGTCAGGAGTGCATGAGAAAAGGGGGAATGGACAAACTCCTTTCATCCCAAATAAAAATATAAATTTTTGAAAACTTCTTTCATTTAATATATTTAAAGAGATTAAAACAAAAATTAAAGAAAGAAAAGGTAACACTGAGATAAACCTAATTAATAAAATATTAATATTATTAAAGTGTCTTATATTTTAAGATGTTAAATCTCCTCCAAAAATATCTTGAAATTTAGGATGAAAAGAATATTGATTAATAAAATCAACATATCTATGGCACAATTATTATTTTTTTTAAAAAAAGCATAATATATATAATAAAATAAAAGGCACGCATTACTTTCGTGGAGCCAATAAAAATAAATGTGCAATTTTCTCTAGTATGTTGACGTGAGCGTGCCTCATTCAGTCATGCTTCAAGTAGGTGAAAGGAAAAAGGAAGAGATTAAGATCCTATTTGGTTGGGTCTCTTTCAAAACCGCTCCTCCAATTTGAGGAGATGCCCCTCTCCCCTCCTTTCACCTCACCTCACCTCTCTTTTCCTCCATCTTCTCCCTTTCTCTCCTTTTTCCTTTCCTGGAACCAACAGGGCCTAAGGAATTTAGTGATTATTCTCACAATTATTTTTTTAAAAAAAGAGCACAATATATATATATACACGCAATAAAATAAAAGGCATGCATCACTTACGTGGAGCCAATAAAAATAGATGTACAATTTTCTCTAGTATGTTGAGATGAGCGTGCCTCATTTAGTCATGCTCCACATAGGTGAAAGAAAAAGGAAGAGATTAAAATCATGTTTGATTGGAAAGGAGAGAAGAAAAAATTTTAAAAAAAATTTCCCTTCCCTCTTTTGGTGAGGACTAATGTGGAGGGGAGTCCAATTTGAGGAGATGCCCCACTCTCCTTCCCTTCTCCTCTTCCCCCCTCACCTCCCTTTCCCTCTATCTCCTACCCTTCCCTTCTTTTCCCTTTTCTTGAACCAACAGGGCCTAAGGAGTTTAGTGACCCGAACACTCAATATGTTTTAGTTTCCAGTCTAACGTAACAATTGCTGTCGCTTACAGTCATTGTCATTTACGATTCCACCATGCGTGACGGAACACACCGGTCTGTCTATGTATATAATTTATTTCATTGTGAAAGGGTTACGGTTTAAAAGATAGCAATTCCAAAATAATACCAGGTCAAAAAAAAAAATTCCAGAATAATAGAAATAGAACCGAGTCAGGAAAGCTCAGGTAGATGTGAGAAGTTATACTCCCAGACCTTGAGAAAAAGGCCTCGTAGTGAGCTGGGAAACACAAATATCCTCATCGCAATTTGCAAATTCAAATCAACGCAAGTCACTCAAATAACGTTATCACACCCATACGCATCAACAGATTGCTCCCATTACATGACTCCGTCTCATTAAACCCGAAAACAAGAAGGGGGTAAAAAAAAAACAAAGAAAAAAAAAAAAGATCGAGGACACGGGGGGCGTTGAAGAAGGAACAAGTTAAGAGCGGAGTGACATGTAAACGGAAAATCTGGTATTTATAGAGAAGGGCTAGGGTTAGGGTTTGACTGAAAACAAAGAAAGCCCGATAAGTGCTTAAGTGAAGGCCTGGTCCAATGGAACCGGCCTAATTTCAATACCCTCAACAATAAGGCCGGCTTTCAAATGGACGCCTTTGACCTCCTTGAGGCACATCCTGACCTCATTATCTCCTCCTCCTCCGTTGAAGAAGCAGCCCAACTCGATCTCCAGCCACTCGTCTTCTCGCTTACAAGGCCATTTCCCATCTATCGAGGTTGACGATATTGTTCTCTGGCAGTTTCTTGCCTCCTTCTCCTTCAAAGGCCATCGTACATAAACGCTCCCTCTTGACTTGAAATTACCAACCTCCACCGACAGCTCCGATGGCAGCGAGTCTAATCCATACGCGCGATCCGCCACTTTCACTATCAGATACGCTCCGTATATCGTTCTCGGAGATAGCATTCGGGCGTCGATGCTCCCCCTGATTTCCAGCCAGCATATGGTTCTCAGTTCAGCCACTTCTGCAAATCTGCTGCATGCATTTTCCAAATGATAAGCATCGCTCCCTAAGCTTTCTGGTTTTTAAAATTCAGGCATAACTTTGGGACTGAGCTTGGCTCAGATCTGAGAAAGTACAAACCTCGAGGGTTGAAAAGGTTTCCAGGACCAGTAGAGTGGGCTGCTTCCCCACGCAATTGAAAGCTCTCTCGCGCTCAACACGTAGCATATTTTACCGGTTGATTTCTCTATTGAGAACATCTGTTTCACCAACAACATGTCAATATTCCGTTAATAAGGTCATATTGATACAAATATAAACTCGGCATTTTCTCTTTAAATCGAGATTAATTCGGTTGGCAGAATTGCTTGCTATTTTTATTTGAGGAAGATTGCGTTACCTTGTTACCCTGATCAATTGGAAGTGGTTTACTTAAACTGAGAAACAAGTCTTTCTTCGAGGAATAGATCAAAGGAGCGACCAGCCTGGAGAGAATCTCACGATAGTTGGGTGGTAAGAACTTCTCCCAGATAATATCTGAATTCGCCATCGAGCGCGCCGTGGAAGAAATAACAGAGGATTGGCCTACGTCTCGAGGAGACGTCAACGAAAAAATGTGCGCTAAACAATCATCGGGCAGAATTTCCATGGGATACAATACAGACCAGTCAATTTTTGAGATGGCAAACAGGTAAAAAGTTCTATTTTATACTTGACCTGTGTGCTTGTGGGATCTGATCCTAACATTCCCGTATCCGCTAATATGTCGACATGAGGCATACGCATGAGCACATCCATGAGAACATTTGCAGGTCATTCCTTTTAGGGCTAATGTCGTTCTCACACACTGCTCACAAAGCCTGTGAAACTTCAAATTATGGATAATGATTGATTATTACTAGCGAAGAAGTTATTTTAATTCACTGATCCTAAAATTGTCATGTCTCCAAGGCACTCAGGATTATCCATCGTGAAGGAATTGAATTTTGGCGTTTATTTTAAGCTGCTTTTTATTACTCATTTCTTCCCAAATCATGAGATATTTGCAAAATCTAACATACCACTAAAAGTTATTAAATTTACTTAACAACTTTATTTTTTCAAAACAAATATATAAACTTTAAAAAATATCTTTCTTATGATATTTAAAAAGAGAGACATGTGAAACTTAAATAAAGAAAGAGAAAGAATAATATTAAAATAAATTTATTTAATAAAACCTTAATAATATTATCAAAGTGTCTTACTCTAAAAAGGTGTCTTATAATTTAAAATGGAGCATAAAAAAAATATGCATGTCTCCCTTTGCACTTGCATTAATGTGTAAGGGCCACTATAGGGACAAAGCATCCCCAAATGTGTTTATTTAATATATCATTTTTAATCTTTATTATAAAGCACTTTCAATCGTTTTACGTATTTTAAAAAAGTTATTTTTTTGATATTATAAAAAAATAAGATGTATTTTTATTTTTACCTTTAAATAATGGTACAATTACATTAAATATTTTTACGTTAATCAAAAAAGATAAAATTAAAAAAAGTGATTTAATTATCATAAGTATCTTACATCTTGGACAAAAAATTACTTTTAGAAGACATATTATAAATAGGACCAGAGGGAGTAATTTAATGGCCAACAAAATTGAGTTATTTCCTCCATCCCAATTCATAAGATATGTTTAGATAAAATTATACATACCAATAGTGCATATTAGATACAATTTACAACCTTTCTTTTTAAAAATAAAAATATAAATTTTTAAAAATACTCCTCATTTGATATTACATTGTGAAGGAGTATTAAAGAAAGAATATATGTGAAGAGTAATACAAGAAAAATATCATTAATAAATCTCGATTATTGTCAAAACTATATTATATTTTGAGACATTAATTTTTTTATAAATATTTTATAATTTGAGACAGAGAAAATATTATAAAAATTCCACATAAACTAATATCCCTGGCTCGGTGCATTATTGGTGTATGGGAATCTAATATAAGTATTCAAAATTCTGGGACAACAAGTGAAATTGTTGCCCCCGGAAGTTTAGTTAATAAAAAAATATTACTTCTTGGGTTGTCAGCTTGAGTATTGCAACCAGAAACTTTCAATTTGATCGTTTTCACGTGAACTACTTTATCGAACAGCCACCTTTCAAGAATTTGGACCAATGCTGGCAATGCGTTTATATCCTCTGCCCATCTCTTTGAGATATTACAAACCCTTCGATTTTATATGCATTAGATCTCAAGCCTTCGTTTCTTAATATTCCGGTTACACTCTTCCAACATCAATTATATGTGGTTTCTGGCAGAGCCCAAAATCAGGTGACATTTAATTAAAGTCTAAAATAACAGGAAACAAAGCGTTTGACCCTGACAAATGAAGAGTTATGCCCAATAAATCATCAAGTGAAGTAAAGCTCGGTTTGTTTAAAAGAAAACTCATTGACTAAGTAACCGTTGGATTGTGAAAAAGATGTGGCTAGCAAAATTCAGAATGACTTAATCAGAAATACCATTATTTGGGCGTCGGACCATTGCTCGATGTGCCTCGAATGTTGCAAGTCTGTGCCAAGTAAGAGCGGATATTTCAGCACAAGCATCTAACCTCCTTGTTTTGTGGACACAACGACATTGAAAGAGCATTATAAATAGGGTTAAGTGGAAGAAAAAGAAGTCAATGAACACAAAAACTAAAGCTTCTTCACTCTACCTCTTATATTGCTTTGCGTTTGGGATTTTGGATCTTACTCGCCTCCACTTTTTTGTACGTCTGCAACTGTGTGTACGCTTGTACCATTAACCAAACTGTTCTCCTTCAAACATCCGTTGCATCTACACATCCAAATAACCACGAATAATTTCCATCTCAAAATTCCCCCTAAATTAACAAATCTACATATGAACTCACGAGTAGCTAAATTCCATCCAATTTTGAATATTCGTTTGCGTAAATTTCAATGAAAAAGCTTATCATGGTTTTTTTTCGACGCTAAATTGTAGATCTAGGCAAATTTCCTTGACATTTTGATTATAAATGTGAAAATATATATTTGACATGCTTATTTAGTTATTTGATGAGGACAATGCAATATCAGTAACTAGCAACTACTACTTTCATTCTAAATTATAAGATATTTAAAAAAAATCACATGTTAATAAATCTTATTAAATATACTAAAATATTATTTTTAAATAAAAATATAAACTTTTAAAATATTTTTTATTTAATATATCAAAAAGAGAGAAAGGTAGAAATTAAATAGATAAAGAAATATTAAAATTGAAATAAACTTATTTAATGAAACACCAATCTTATAATTTAAAATGGAATGAGTATTTTATTTGTTTATGTAAACTCAAAATTGTGTGCAATACAGCTTTGAATGCAATATATTCATAACATGGTCAAATTCCTATGCTGTTAAAGTGGGGATATTTGCGCCTGTGAAATTGTTGTGCGTCGCGTGCTAGGCATGTGCGAAATGTATGTGCCCGGCTCCCCTCCGTGTGGAAAAGGAAGAAGAAGAAGATAAGATATTCAAGAAAAATGATGATATTTTCTAAAAGTCAACACATAACAATGGAAAAATGACTAATTTAACTAATAGCTTTTGGAATACATGGGGATTAGTCAACTGAGTCCGGTATATTTGAGATGGCGGGGAGCCGACGTGGGAAGTCTTGAAGGCGCATCCTGAACAGGCAGGGCTCAGGGCTGACTTTGAAGAAATATATTCATATTAATTCTTATTTATTTAAAAAAATGTATAAAACAAAATATCAAAAGTATAATAATTTTATAAATCGTAGTAATTAAACATAACTATTCTAAATATAATTTAAAAAATAATTTACTAATTAAAAAATTATACTCTCTCTGTTCAAAAATGTAAAATATTTTTAATTGAATCTAACCCTCTAATAAAGTAATTACTTATTTTAAATTAATTCTATCTTTTTATATTAATCATTCTTAAATAACCCATCATAAATATAAAGTCATTGTCAATAGGAATATTTTTTTTAAAAAAAGCAATGATTACGTCTCAAAAAATTAAAAATATTTTATATTTTTTAAACATTCAACCCTTTATAAAATGTCTTATATTTTTTAACGGAAGAATAATTATTCAAATCAAATCTTAAATATCATTATAATAAATTAAAAATTTTAAATCTAATTAATTATATATCACATCACGCTTCCACTAGAATGAAGCTAGGAAATGTTAAAGACATTTCTGACAGGGCTGTTTAAGTAGGCCAAGTTGTCTTGTTGGCCGCGTCGGTGCCCCTCATTCTGGTTCCTGCCGCAGTGAGGTGCACGTTTCGTCCCTGTGTTTCCTTCGGTGGCAAATTGGGGTTCTATGCATAATTCTGCCTCTCGATCTGTTCTTTTCTTTCATTGGATTCGGGTACATTCATTGATAGTGATGTCCTTGTTCTTACATGACGCCAAGCCTTTTCAACCTAGCGGACTAGAGCCTTTTTTAAAAAAGCTGTCGTCTTTTAAATGGTAGTTGTATGTTAATTTGCATGCGTTTATTAAATTCGCATTTTCTCAAGGATGCATGCAATGCATCATTTATTAAGGCACAAAGAATATCAGCATCTAATATTAATGTTCATAAGAATCTATCTCGCACTCTTTTCCCGTCTAAATCATCTCGTCAGATTTTTTTTTTGTTTAGTTAATGTTGATAAAACAAGTCATAATTTATTATCCAATCAATTCCACAACAGTTCTCATACAATGACTAAATACAATATTCCTTTATAAAATTCTCAGATAATAAGGCCTGAGCATGACTTATCACACTATTCCATTTTTAATAATGGTTTTCATATTTGCTTTCTAGTAAATTTATATTATATTATCGGTGTGGGCTTCTGTTGTTCTTCTGTTACACTCTATTGCTTAAAAAGACATGTAATTATATTTATATAACATTATAACAGTAGCAATTAATGTTTTTATGATGACATCATTACGGTTAGCCGTTGAAGGACAGGATATCAATAATCAATAAATCAATTAAAAAAAATGAAATAAAAGGGGAGCTTTGATTAAGCTAATACCCTCAATAAACTGAGATCATATCAAAATAACTACTCCAATGCCAAACACATGAAAGATGTGGCCTGAGCCTGACTGTCAAACTACCAGACTTATTCTCACGTGACGTCTGGGTTTTGTAGCTGTGGTTCTGATCAAACATGGTTTGGTCTGAGTTCAACGCCTTCCAGGATAAGCCGCTTTCAATTGATAGCCCACTTCCATCAGACTCACCTTCACGTCCTGATCTTCTTCCCCACTGTAAAAACTCCCCCAACTCAATCTCCATCCAACCATCTTCCCTTCTCGACGGAAATTTCTCATCTTCTTCCGTCTCCGACGACTCCCTCAACATCTCTCTCCGGCTCCCATAAAACAGAGCCTCCATTTTCTGCTTCCTCTCGTCTCTGTCGCACAGATATGCCTTCCCCTTCTTCACCACGTTTCCCACCTCGACTGAAACTTCAGAAGCTGCACGGTCAAGCCCGTACGCTCGACGAGACACCTTCATTATCAGATAAGCTCCGTACCAGGTGCTGGGTGTCAGAATCCCAGTTCTGATTGTGCACTTAATTTCCAACCAGCTCACTGTTCTGAGATGAGCAAACCACCGAGAACCTGAAAAATCATTCATTTAATTGTTTCCCCCTCAGACTTAACTATCAACAGTTCAACGGAGAATTTTACAAGAGCGA